TCTGCCTGTTTAATAACAGGTTTCTCTGTCTGCGGGGGGGTGAAGGAAGTGCACCGCAGGTGATTCACACTTACCTGTTTATCAGGGTTGCTACTGATATTTTGAATACAAACTGAAACAGTTGCTAAAGGCTGTTCAGAGCAGAGAGTAACATCAGGGCTGATAAAATTCAGCAGAACAAAAACGTTAACAAGGTACAGAGTTAGTCTTTTTATCTTGCTTACAGTTACAGTTGGTTTTCAAGTGCATCCGTGGTTATCAGATCACAAGTGCACAGTGTTAAATACAGGTGAAAATATCCATTAAGACACATGGTGATCTGATACCTGAAACCACTTGCTAAGCCGGTCCCACCAAATTGCACTTTGCTACTCATAAGTGACAGATAAGCCACTCAAGTCGTTCCTCGGTTCATTGCTGTACTCTGATTTTTTCCTCAAGTTACAATCATTTCTGTCTGCAGCAGTTCAGTCTGAAACCAGAGCTCCCAAACATATTTTCTCTCTGAGCATTATAGCGCTCTAAAGACCGTCTTAAGATGCTTTTAGGAAGCCGATGCCTAATGTATAATCGACGTGTGAGTGAGGCTGAATCGCAGCAGACAGAGAGAAGAAATGTCTGCTGTAGCTGTGTGTGTGTGGTTTTAATGCTGTTGGTTCTGTTTTTATATCCACTCATCTGCCTGCATCTGTTCTATTTACAGCTCTGAGTATCTGCATTGTGACTTATTTTAACTGTTCTCTGAACTCTGTTAAACTAACTGGCTGTCAGGGGGGAAATGTGCAAGAGAGAGAGCGAGAGAAGGAAAGGTAACCCAACAAAGAAGCTGTACGGCGGTGAGGATGCTGTGGTTCATCTTTAACTGCTGGATCTATTTCTCATCATTGTTTAGTTTTAACAGCAACAAAAAATGAGCATTTTGGCTATTTATACACTCAGACTTTTTGTGTTTGCTTATGAACAACAATAGAGGAATACTGCAACAGCCATCAGAGGAAATTTAACAGTAACGCATTCGAACTGTCAAAAAATAATGAAATACTTATGTGGGGGGAAAAAACTTACTGTAACCTTCATGTCTTTCATCTCAGGATTGATGTTTTAAACTTTAGAAATTGTCTTGCATTCATGTCAACTTTGAAAGAACAAAAATGTGTTGTTGGTGTGGTGTTTGGATTGATTTTGAAATTCAAACGGGAAGGTTTGTGCATCTTTACTGGACACAGATGTCTTTGTCTGACCCCCGTGATTTTAAAGCAGGAGTAAGCAACGCTAAACCAGCAGATAGACATAAATGTTAAGAGACTTTCAAGAAATGGACAATTTAAAAATGCAGATGCCAATAGATAAATATCTCTGCAAACGTTAGCCAGGTGAGATAAGACCAGTAATTGCAGGTTTTGCCTTATTTTAAATTTGCAGCTTATTGTTATGCATCTTATCAGATCTATTGTCTAAAGGCTTTCTGACACTCCAGGCAACGTTTTCCTCTAGAGGCTGTCTTTGTTATTAACCTACAGGTCATCTTAGCATCCGAAATATCCACACTGATCTCCATCAGCTGTTCAACTGCTGCTGAAGGCAGTGCTGCAGTCTGTTAGTGTTATTTCAGTGCATCGCGCTTTGGCTTCCTGAAGGAACTGGTGATCAAATAATGGAGCAGAATGTGTTTTTCTAAATGCTACATCGTTGGTATGATTAAAATCATTCATCATTAGTTAAAGCCTGATATCAACAACACCCACGAACAGCAACAACACCCATGTGTTGTCTGCACATTCAAAGCTTGAGAGTTTTTATTCCTGCTATCGAGCTTCATTGTTGTGCAGAAACTATTAAAAACACATCAGTGTTGCACTGGGTGACATGTTTCTTCATTATCATGAACACATACACTGGTTTATAATGGTTCAATCTCACAAACACACCATCCTGCTGCCTGAAAAACTCACTAGAGTACCATGTGTACATTAACGTGATGCAGATAATGGTCTCCAACAAAAGCTCCATTTCTTCTTGTTTGAGAAACATTTGCTGTTTTAGGGCTACTAAGCTCTGTTTTTTTCTAGAAAATGAAATTATATATTTGTGGGTTGTTTTTAAAGGCTTGCGTCTTCAGTAGGAACCACTGTCAGCTTGAGGAGGTGATTCTTTCTTTTTGTCAATGTGGGATTTATTGACAATAAGAATAGATAAATAAGAAACATTCTAATATGTATACATATGTTCACCACTTTGATGCATACTAACTGAAAGTCTGACTCTGAAAGAGGCAACATTAACATTTTTTAATAAATTTTTATTGGGGTAATACTTTAATACTTACAGTATCCTGTCTTTGTCAGCCTGAACTCTCTTCTTCTTCTTTGAACTGTTTTGAATGGTTGACACCAGGTATTTAAACTCATCCACCTTCACTACCTCTACTCCTTACATCCTTTCATCTTCACTGAACATAATCAACAGTACACAAATTTAATATCAGTAACACTGCATTGCCACTAGGGCTGCCACGATTAGTCAACTAGTCACGATTACGTCGACTATTAAAATCGTCCACGACTAATTTAATAGTCGAAATTCGTTTGACGCTTTGTAAGATCACAAAAGACACAGGAATAAGTAATAGTATTTAAGAGTGTAATAACGGACTGAAACAGAAGATGGCAGCACTGCATGTACAAGGATGCCAGCTGCCGTTAAACCCCGAAGAAGAAGAAGCTGTGTCCCAGAATTCATAGCGCGGCCCAGCTCAGTTTCCAACAATGGCGGCAGCTAGTTAGTTTTAATATTACTCTTATTATTCT